TGACAAGTGACAGCACTGCCACGGTGGGCAGGGGAGAAGGTGACAAGTGACGGCACTGCCACGGTGGGCAGGGGAGAAGGTGACACGAAGATAAGCGAGCGTGCTCACCGCTGTGCACGGACGCCGTGCGGGGGACGTCGTACAGCACCGGCGCCTCCCCCTCCTCCTCCTCCTCCTCCCCGATCTCCTCCCGCGACGCCGCTGACAGCGCCCTCCCTCCCTGCTTCTCCGGGAGTCGCGGCGGCGGCCATTTTCCCGTGAGCTGGCTCTCGGTGAACGCCGGCGGGTGAGGGCTGAGCGAGCCTGACCGCGACGACCTGCGGCGACGAGGCAGAGAAAGCGGCTTCAGCACGCGCATGACGTGCAAGCGCAGGACGAACGCTCGTGTGTTACACTCACGGTGAGAATTTACGCTTATGGATGCAAATTAAGCTACAGTTAGCTCTGTTAAGTCACGGTTATAGTTATGTGGTACAGCTACAGTTATAAGTTATAGATGCAGCTACAGTTGTATGTTACAGTTACAAGTTACAGTTAGCTCCAAGTGACAATTACAGTTACAGTTACTACCACCACCACTACCACTACAACTACTACTACAGCTGAACAGTGGCACATCGTTAGAAAACCTTCACGTTAAATATCGTACCTGTGACCAGGGTTGACACTGCTGCTGCTGGAACTAATCTGTGACAATCTGTCACCAGAGTTGACACTGCTGCTGCCAGAGCTGAGCTGCGACAATCTGTCACCAGGGTTGACACTACTACTGCCAGAGCTTAGCTGTGACAATCTGTCACCAGGGTTGACACTACTAGTGCCAGAGCTGATATGTGACAGCCTGTTGTCCACACTGGCTGGGGTGACATCGGAGTCCCCTGACCTGGTACCGTCGTGCAACCCAACGCCTATAATGCCCTCCGGTATCTCGGCATAGATGTTCGATTCGCGATTCGACGTGTCAACAGGTGGCGCTCTGAGCAGTGCGCGAGGTCGCGGTGGCAGCTCGGGGCTGATCGGACACTTGACGTACGTTCGTGCCTGCGGCGTGGGGCGTGGCAGACTGCCAGCCCCACCCTTGTCCGAATCGCCCGACGGCTTTTTCGACCGTGGCAACTTCTGAGGTCGTGGCAACTTTTTCGGGCTTGCAGGCGGCTTCGTTGGTAGCTTAACATCATTAGGGTCGATGTATTCGTAGGTCTGCTCCGGTTTCTCACCTAGAAGACAGGTACAGAATTAATTTGCATATCACGGTAATTATTAAAAAAACAAGGGCATACAGACGTACCAACACTATTGAGCCCCCTTCTTAACAAATTTCAGATTTATCACTTTTTATAAAACAAGGTAATTTTTATATTACGAAATAGTTATACTAATCTAGGTGATATTAAGCCAACCATTATTAGTTTAATTTTGTTCAGGCTGAGAAGACGACTTCGGACAAAACCTATCTACCACAGCATTACAGGTTACCATCCGTAGCTCGCTGACAGTGCAAAATTAGAACGCAATTTCCCAATCCATTTGAGTGATAAAGCCATGACCTACCTCACCCCTGGGATAGTATTACTAGGGCAGTAGTACTTAGTACTTCATTAGTCATTAGTAATACATTAGTCATTAGTAGTAGTAGTCAAGCTAGCCCACTCTACGCATGTGTTTCACGTGTGCACGCCAAATCGATGACTTTGCCGCGCCCCGTTACCAAGCATCGTCTTTTAAAACGTGTCACCGCGGCAACAACCGACCACAGCAGCAGACGAACAAACTTGGTAATTGTATGTAATGACAATGACAATGCATGAATGTAATTCGCATGACAATGTAATGACAATGACAATGCATGAATGTAATTCGCATGACAATGTAATGACAATGACAGTGTATGAATGTAATTCGCATGACAATGTAATGACAATGACAGTGTATGAATGTAATTCGCATGACAATGTAATGACAATGACAGTGCATGAATGTAATTCGCATGACAATGTA